GCCATTAATGCCATTATGCCATTAATGCCATTATGCCATTATGCCATTAATGCCATTAATGCCATTATGCCATTAATGCCATTATGCCATTATGCCATTAATGCCATTAATGCCATTATGCCATTAATGCCATTAATGCCATTAATGCCATTATGCCATTAATGCCATTAATGCGGACTCAGGAAAGAGACACTTTGGCGGACTGTCTCTTTTCGTGTCTCTTTTGCGTCGGCCTTCGACCTGCAGCACTTCGCGATTTGCTGCAGTGCTTTGCTGCTGGCTTCGCAGCTGTACGTACACCCTAAACCCTAAACCCTAAACCCTAAACCCTAAATTGGAGTTTCTGGGGTCGGCGGACTTCTTTTTTTCGGCATTTTCTGGCTTGATATGTTTTAAATTTATTTCTTGATTTGGGCTTTTTGTTTTTAATTTGTTTTTATTTTCTTTTTTTCCTTTTTGACTTTTCTATCTCTTGATCGCAAACTGAATTCATTTTTGCTGCTGCTGCTTCATCTGAATAATAAAAAATTACAAATTAACAAAAAGAAATAATTAAAAAGAAATGGCGAAAAACAAATAAGAAAAGCTGAAAGGAAATGATAAAATAATTCATAAACGCTGCAGCTGCAGCAGATTGCGTTGAGTGGTGGGCTAATGTGATCCTTTCTGCTGCTGCTGCTGCTGCTGCTGCTGCTGCTGCTGCTGCTGCTGCTGCTGCAGCAATGCGCAGGCAACTGGACCGGGGGCTACTCCTTGCAGTCTCTAGAACAAAGATTAGAACAATTAGAAGCAGCAGTTTTAAAGGCTGTTCAAGAGGCCCTGCCTCCGCAGTTGCGGGGGGGCCCCCCGGGGGCCCCCGAGGGGGGCCCCCCGGGGGCCCCCCTGGGGGCCCCCGGGGGGCCCCCCTTGAGGCTCCGCGAGCAGCACTACCACAAAAAAGCCAAACTTTTTCGCTGCGAAGTTGAGGACTTGATTGCAGAGTTCTCTGTCTCTGGCTTTTCCCGTTCCTAGTTTTCATTTCAAATGCATGCGCTCTTCATTTTGATGTTTGTTGGGGCCCAGGGGCCCCCCGAGGGACATCTTTTGGGACCCCTTCTCAAGGGGCCCCCAAGGGGCCTCTTGGGGGCCCCTTGGGGGCCCCTTGGGGGGCCCCATAAGGGGCCCCCCAAGGGACTCCCCGTCAGGAGCTCACCAAGAGGCCTTGTTCCTTGGGGGGCCCCCCTGGGGGCCCCTATGGGGGCCCCCCCAGAGGCCCGTTGGGGGGCCCCCGAATGTACCCTCAAAGGGTACTGATGGGGGCCCCCGTTGCCTGCGCAGCTCGCAGTGTTTGCCTCGAGTGCCCCGCGTGACGGGCCCGAGGGTTTAGGGTTTAGGGTTTTGAGGACTTGTAAGAACACTCTAAGAGTATTTGTTTGGTGTTTAGGGTTTAGGGTATTTAGCCGGGAAAAGGGCCTTTTTTGTCTCTTTTCTTCCAGATTTCGGGCCCCTAGTGGTGAATTATAATTATATTTATTTTATTTTATTTATTTGTTTTAAATTCCACAGAAAGGGCTCGCCCCCGTGCGCAGCAAGCTGCGGCTTGCTGCTGCTGCGCTGCAGCAGCAGCAAACCGCAGCAGCAACAAGCATTTGGGAGAATCGAAACTGATTTATCTTTTAAAATAAATCAATTAAAGAAATAAATAAAAGTAAATCAAACTGGGGCGCCCGTGTGGCAGTGCAGGCGAGAGAGGGGGCGTTCAGGTGTACGTACACCTCAGCTGCGGATTTGCTGCTGCTGCTCGGCGGAAATAAGAAAAGCTTTTCGGAAATTTTAATTTTTTGACAAAAGAAGTCCTTTAGAAGTCCTTTATAGTTCTTTTTCGGATGGTTTCTCGGTGCGCTTCAGAGAGACGCAAGTTCCGGGCAAAACCCGCAGATGTTCCTCCTCGAATTAGGGTTTAGGGTTTAGGGTTTAGGGTTTGGGGTTTGGGGTTCGCCGCTGCAAGCCCCCCTGTGCTTGCTCGCCGGGCCCAACATCATTTTTAAAAGCTTATTTCGTGAAGATTAAAACAAGACACAGTCAGGGAAGAGATCTTTCAAGCAGCCGCTCTGCTGCTGCTGCTGCTGCTGCTGCTGCTGCTGCTGTTGCTCTTGTTGCTGTTGCTGCAGCGTGGGCTCCGGCTGTACGCGCTTGGTGGTTTTTATCCCCCCGCAGGGTTTCTCTCCTTTTCTTTGAGATTTAAACAAAAAAAGAAATATATTTTTCATTTTTAAGTTGAAGTTTATTCAAAGAACTCGAAAAGAGCTGCATTTGCTGCTGCTGCTGCTGCTGCTGCTGCTGCTGCTGCCACTCTGCTGCCACTGTGGGGGCGGCAGGCTGTCGCTCGCTGCCTCGAGCGGCGCTGTTTGCTGCATTTTCCAGCAGCAAATAATTTGAAATTTGGAAATTTGGATTTAATTTAAGTTTATATTTTCATTCCCGGTGAATAAAATGACTTGCGCAGCAGCAGCTGCTGCTGCTGCAGTTGACGCAGCAGCAGTGGCTGTGCCGGCGGCAGCAGCAGCAGCGGCAGCAGCGGCAGCAGCGGCAGCAGCAGCTGCTGCTGCGGTCCCCGACCACCAGCAGCAGCAGCAACGGCAGCAGCAGCTGCAGCAGCAGCACGTCCCTAAGTTTGCCCGGGTCTCTAATCTGCTGCAAGCTCTACCACCTCCACATTCTCAGCAACTGCTGCAGCAGCAGCAGCAGCAGCAGCAACGGGAGCAGCAGCTAACCCGTTCTCGCGCCTCACTCGTGTGCAGCAGCAGCAGCAGCAGATGGAGACGATCCCACACGATCCCCAACCTTCCAGTCTTTAGTCCTTCAGTGTCAAGTTAAGTCTGGGCCCTCCAGGCTTTCTTCTTTTGCTGCAGAGGGTCTCTTTGCAGCAGCAGCAGCACCTCCGCAGCAGCAGCAGCAGCGCCGACAGCAGCAGCAGCAGCAGCAGCGACAGCCGCCACAGCGCCAGCAGCCGCTCAGCCGGAGCAGCCGCTGCAGCAGCAGCAGCACAGCCCCCGCTGCAGCAGCAGCAGCAGCAGCAGCAGCAGCCGCTGCAGCAGCAGCAGCAGCAGCCGTAGACGGCTTAAAAGAATGAGTGCTGCTGAGGGCGTGCGTGGGGTGTATCGACAGCAGCAGTCGATGCAAGGCCCGCGGCGCTTGCTGCTGCAGCACTTGCTGCTGCTGCTGCTGCTGCTAGCTGCTGCTGCTCCTTGCTGCTGCAGCAGCCCCCACGAGGAGTCCCTTCAAGGCCCGCTGCCAGCCGCAGCTCTCGGGGATCGCGATCCCACGGAGACAGGAGACCCCACAGCAAGTGTGGGGTCTGGATACGTCGATCCCAGCGGGGGTGTGGGGCCGAGTGGCTACGAGTCGGAGGTGCAGCAGCAGCAGCAGCAGCAGCAGCAGCAGCAGCGGCGGCAGCGCAACGGGCTCTGGCGGCGGCTGCAGGGCCCTGTGGGGCTGCTGCTGCTGGCGCTGCTGCTGCTGCACGTGGTGGTGGCGGAGCGCCGTGCTGCAGCAGCAGCAGCAGCAAGAGAGAAGGCCCTGGAGGAGGGCCTCACGCTGCTGGAAAGTGCAGCAGCAGCAGCAGCAGCAGCAGCAAAAGAAAGGGAGTTTGCGCTGTCGGCGGCGCAGGAGATAGCAGCAATAGCGCAGCAGCAGCAGGAGACAGCAGCAACGCTGCAGCAGCTGCAGTCGCGCCGCAACTCGCTGCTGCAGCGCTCTGCTGCTGCTGCAGCAGCAGCAGCAGAGCAGCAGGGACTCACGCTGCGGAAGAGACACGAGCAGCTGCAGCGGCTGCTGCAGCTGAAGCACGAAACTGAAGCAGCAGTTGATGCAGCACGGCTGCTGCGGGGCCTTCCTGCTGCTGCTGTGGGGCCGCTGCTGCAGCAAACTCGGGAGCAGCTGCAGGAGCTGGAGGCGAGGGACCAGCAGCTGGGGCAGCGGCTGCAGCAGCTGCAGCAAGTGGAGACGGTGCAGCAGGCGCTGCAGCAGCAGCAGCAGGAGCTGCAGCGGCTGCAGCAGTCGGTGGAGGCTGCGCGCGCGGAGCAGCAGCAGCTGCAGCAGGAGGTGGCGGCGGAGGCGGCCGCAGCAGCAGCAGCAGCGGCGGAGGCGGAAGCAGCAGCAGCAGCGTCTGCGCTGCTGCAGCAGCAGCTGCAGCAGCTGCAGCAGCAGCGCGCGGCGCTCGCGGCCGCGGGCGCGCAGCGGCAGCAGCTGCTGCAGCAGCAGCAGCAGCAGTCAGCAGCAGCACTCACTCTGGCTCTTAATGAACTCGATGAACTGCAGCAAGCTCCAGCAAGACACAAAATAAAAGAAGTTGTGCTGCAGCAAGCTTTTGCAGAAATGGAAAGGAGACGAAAGTACATAGAGATGCTTGCTGCTCCTGCTGCCAGCTCGGAAGCAGCAGCAGCAGCGCTGCTGGCAGCAGGCAGCAGCAGCAGCAGCAGGTTCGCGCCGCTGGCTGCGGAGCAGCAGCAGCAGCAGGAGGCGCTGCTGCTGCCGGCGGAGCAGCAGCTGCTGCAGGCGCAGCGCGAGCAGCTGCTGCTGCTGTCCGAGAGACAAACTCTCGAAGCAGAACGCGAGCTGCTGCAGCAGGAGACAGCAGAGGAGACACAATTGGCGCGGGCGCTGCAGCAGCTGCTGCTGGCGAAGGCGGAGGTCTCGGACGCTGCTGTTGCTGCGTACGCGGAGGCGCCGCTGCCCGCAGCAGCAGCAGCAGCAGCAGCAGCAGCAGCAGCAGCAGAGCTGCCCGAGTCTGCTGCAGCACGTGCTGCTGCAGCACAAGTGGCAGCAGCAGAACGCCGCTTCAAGGAAAAACAAGAGAAGCAAAAAAGCATAAAGCTGCGGCTGGTGGCCATTGACGGGAAGCTGCCGCAGCTGGAGCAGGAGGTGCAGCGGCTGCAGCGGCTGCTGCAGCAGCAGCAGCGGCAGCAGCAGCAGCAGCTGCAGCAGCAGCACGCCGAAAGCGCCGCTTTCGCCGCCGTCGACGGCCTCTACCGCAGCATCCACTCCAGGCTCCGTGCTGCTGCTGCTGTAAGGAGACAGCACTTTGCTTTTGGGCCCAAAGTCTTCGAAAGCTTCAGAGGCCACAGGGCCCAGGATGTGTGGGCAGCAGTGCTGGAGCCGCGGGCGGATGATGTGCTGCTGCTGCTGCAGGAAGCAGGCAGCAGCAGCAACTTGCTGCGCCTCGCGGGCGCGCGGGCCGCGCTGCTGCTGTGGCAGCAGCAGCTGCAGCAGCAGCTGCTGCTGCAGCACTCGCCCCGCGCGCTGCTGCTCCTCGCAGCCGCAGGGCCCCACGGGCCCGTCCAGCGCCTGCTGCTGCAGCACCGCCTCGAGCTGCTGCAGCAGCAGCAGCGCCTCGTGCAGCTGCTGCAGCAGCAAAAGGAGACCGAGCTGCAGCAACTCAGAGACACTCTAACCACTCTCGCGGAGACAGGCTTGTGGGCCGTGGAGCTGCCTCAGGTGTCTCTACAGGCCCACGCCTACATGACGCGGCTGCAGCAGCAAATCGAACACCTGCAGCAGCGGCAGCTGCTGCTGCAGCAGCAGCAGGACCCGCAGCTGCTGCAGCAGCAGATTGCTGCGGCCTTCATCGACGCGCTGGTCGCGCTGCACGAGCGGCAGCAGCAGATCGCAGCGGCCGGGCCCGCGGCAGAGGCTGCTGCTGCTGCTGCTGCTGCAGCAGCAGCAGCAGCAGCAAACAAGGCCCACGCAGACGCCATCGCCGAGGCGCTGCAGCAGCAGCAAACTGAAATCATCAAACTCAACAGCAAAGAAGCAGAACTGTCTCCTTTTTTTGATTGGAGAAGCATCCGAATTGAAGACAGCGAAGACGAGGAGACAGAAGAGACAGAAGACGCAGCAGCAGAGCTGCTGCTGCAGCAGTTTGCTGCTGGAGACATTCTTGCTGCTGCTCCCGAAGCAGCAGAAATCAAAAGCCTGGGCAAACTCACGGCCTTCACGCTGCCGGGCGTGCTGCAGCTGCAGCAGCCGCACAAGAGGGCCAAGAAGCAAAAAGATAAAAAATAATTATTTAATTTATTTATTTAATTCTTCTTTAATTCTTTTAATTCTTTTAATTCTTTCATTTATTTCTTTTGTTTGTTTATTGCTCTTCTTCTTTCCTCCTTTGTCCCTCTTCATTATCTGCTTTGCTTCCTTCTATGTGGCTGAAGAGGCAGCAGCAGCAGCAGCAGCAGCAGCAGTTGCTGCTGCTGCTGCTGCAGCAGGGAGACAATTAAGCAGTAAGGAGACAACCGAAAAAGCAACTAATTAATAAAAGCAGTTAATAAATAAAATAATTAAACAACCATTTAATTAAAAGACAATTAACAAATTAAAACAATTAATAAATGCAATTAAACAAAAAGAGACAATTAATTAATCAAAATAATAAATAAAGAGAGACAAATAACAAATAAGCATTTAATTTATAAAGAAACAGTTAATAATGAAAAGACAATTAATAATTAAATAATTAAATAATCAAATAATTAAATAATTAAATAATTAAATAATTAAATAAATAATGAAGAGACAAGTAAAGAATAATAAAAGGAAATGTAAAGAATATTATATGTGGAGACACTTTGAAGGAGACAGGCAGCAAATGGCATAAATGGAAATGAATTTAAAATGAATTTAAAATAAATTTAAAATGAATTTGATTTAATAATAAAGGAGGAAGAAGGGACACTTTATTTTTGCTTAAGAGCTGCTGCTGCTGCTGCGGGGGGCGTTTGCTGCTGCTGAAGGCGTTTGCTGCTGCTGCTGCTGCAGGCATTTGCTGCTGCTGCCTGCTGCTGCGCATCGCCGTGCTTGCTGCTTCTCTTTTTAAAGTGTCTCCTTTTCATTTGTCTCCTTTCCCAAAAATTCAATGCAGTTTGCTTTGCTTTTTGAATTTGACTGTGGGGCCCCCCGCTTCGAGCAGCAGCAGCAGCAGCAGCAGATTCAGCGGAGTTCCTGCTGCTGCTGCTGCAGCAGCAGCAGCAGCACAGCGCATTGCGGCAACAGCGGCGGCAGTGCGCCGGCTGCAGATGCGCAGCAGCAGCAGCTTTCCCGCTGCAGTGCAGCAGCAGCAGCAGCAGCAGCAGGAGCCTTACAGCAACAGACTTTGCAATTAGACTGCGGCATTGGCAGCAGCTGCATCAGCTGGAGCTGCTGCAGCAGCAGCAGCAGCAGCGGCTGCTGCTGCTGCAGCCTGTTGCTGCAGCTGTTTGGCTCCTGTCCTCGTTTTATCAAGCTTGAAGCAACTCTGTTATAGACGATGAATTGGATTTTAATTGATTATTTGATCATTTGATTTAATTTAATTTAATTTAATTTAATTTAATTAATTTAATTTAATTTATTTAATTTAATTGATTTAATTTGATTGATGATTTAGAGGGTTTGGTGCATGCCCCCAGGTGTACAGGCAGCCCGGAAGCAGCGCAGCAGGCTGCAGCAGCAGCATGGCTGCAGCAGCAGCAGCATAGCTGCAGCAGCAGCAGCATAGCTGCAGCAGCAGCAGCATAGCTGCAGCAGCAGCAGCACAGCTGCTACTGCAGCAGCCAGAAAAATTGATACAATTCAGCAGATGGAACTGCTGCTGCTGCTGTTTTTGTTGCTGCTGCTGTTGGTGCTGCTCGTGCTGCAGCACCATGTGAATAGCTTCCTCATTGCTTGTTTGCTGCTGCAGCAGCAGCAACAGCCGCCAGAAGCAGCGCAGCACGCTGCAGCAGCAAACGTGAGTTTCACTTCTTTCCTCTGCTGCTGCAGCAGCCACTGCGTTATACAAAGCAGCAAATAGAGCTGCTGCTGCTGCTGCTGCTGCTGCTGCAGCAAGCATACGTATGGCATCCTTTATTTGCGGCAGCAGCAGCAGCAGCTTCTGTTTGCTGCAGCAGCAGCAGCAGCTGCTTCTTCGATTTCTTTATTTCAAACTCCCCCCAGCTTTACTTGCCGCTAAACCTCCTTATTTCATCTAGAGTTTGTCCAACGTCCAAACCCTAAACCCTAAACCCTAAACCCTAGTAGACTCTGCAGAGATGCCGCGACAAACCCTAAAGCCCAAACTCTAAACCCTAAACCCTAAACCCTACACCCTGGGCGCTACACGCAAACCCTGGGGCCAAAACCCCAAACCCTAGGCCCCAAACCCTAAACCCTAAACCCTAAACCCTAGTAGAGTCTGCAGAAATGCCGCGACAAACCCTAAAGCCCAAACCCTAAACCCTAAACCCTTGGGAAACCCAAACCCTGGGGCCAAAACCCCAAACCCTAGGCCCCAAACCCTAAACCCTAAACCCTAAACCCTAAACCCTAAACCCTACCTGTGCACAATTGGAAAGTGCAAATGGAGTTGGTGGAAAATGGAAAGCAGCAGTATTTGGGGTGTACGGACAGCTGCCGTCGGCAGTTTCTTTTCTTTATTGTCTCTTTTTAATTAATTTAAATTAATTAATTAATTAATTAATTATTTAATTATTTAATTATTTAATTATTTAAATAAATAAATAAATAAATAAATAAATAAATAAATAAATAATTATTTGTTTAATTAATTGATTAATTAGTGTTTATTGTTGCCAGCTCCGCAGCGCTTTGTGCTGCAGTGCAGCTGCTGCAGCGCTTTGCTGCTGCAGCAGCAAATTATTAATTTTAATTTGCTGCTGCAGCAGCAAATTAAAATTAATAATTTGCTGCTGCAGCAAATTGAAATTAATAAGCAAATCAAAACTTTCAATTTATGCATTTCCTTTTTATCTTTTCAAATTAATGCCATTTCATTTGCTTTTCAATTTTTAGTCCTTTTGCCCGGGCTCCCCGCCTCCAAACCCTAAACCCTAAACCCTAAACCCTAAACCCTAGCCCTGGGCAAAAGGTTCTTTGGCAGCGCAGCTGAAGAATAAAGCGGGCGCTTCTCTCGACTCCGCCGCTGCTGCTGCTGCTGCTGCTGCTGCTGCTGCTGCTGCTGCTGTTTCTGCTGGTGCTGCTGCTGCTCTGTTTGCTGCTGCTGCGCTTCGGCTGCTGCTGCGCTCCCGCAGTGTGCTGCTTCCGTTGCTGCTGCTCCCCCGCCTGCTGCTGCTGCTGCTGCAGCAGCAGCAGCAGCAGCAGCAGCAGCTCAGTCCCTTTCCTTGCGGAGCCTGAGGCCCACTCTGTAAGTCTCCCCCACCCAGCCATCTTCCAACTGTCTCCTTTCTGCAGCAGCAGGTCTTTGCTGCACTTGTTCGCCAGCAAATCTGTGGCTGCGGCCTTCTGGGAAGCGGAAGGGCGCTGCTGCTGCTTTCGCCTCTGCTGCTGCTGCTGCTGCTGCTGCTGCTGCCCCCGGCAGGCTCCGAGGAGACACAAAAGGAGACAGTTCATCCTCCAACGCTTTTGCTGCTGCTTCCAAGTCCTTCAGTCTATTCAGCTCCTCTTTTATTTCTTGCCGGTGCATCTTGTGCATCACCCGCAGCAGCTTCCGCTGCTGCTGCTGCTGCTGCTGCTGCTGCTGCTGCTGCTGCTGCTGCTGCTCAGGGGGCCACCGCGGGGAGATCATGCGGAGGCGCTGCTGCTGCAGCAGCAGCGCCTCCGTAAACATAGCAGCAACTTCTTGTTTGAGATTTGCTGCTGCTCTTTCTTCGAGAGTTCGGAGACGCTTTTCGATGTGCTGCTGCCGGGCCTTTTCGCGCTGCAGTGCTGCTGCTGCTGCTGCTTCCTGCTGCAGCAGCAGCAGCTCGGTCTCCTGCGGCGCCTCGCTCAAGTCCTGCAGCCAGCTGCTGAGGCCCTCCTGTGTCTCCTTGCATTCGCGCAGCTGCTGCTGCAGCTCCAGTGTCTCCTTTTCTGTCTCCTGCTGCAGCAGCAGCACGACTTGCTGCTGCTGCTCCGAAGCCTCGCCTGCTGCTGCTGCTGCTTCCAACTCCCCCACAGGAAGGCCCAGCAGCCGCTCCTGTCTCCTCATTAGAGACAGGTCATCTTTTGCTGCTGCTGCTGCTGCTCGCAAGCTGTTGAGCTGCTGCAGCAGCACATCCAGAGCCACCAAGAAGGCCTCTTCTTTTTGCTTCTGCTGCACTATGTATTCCGTCAAGCTGGCAGCAAAGTTTGTTGCTGCTGCTGCTGCTGCTGCTTTTGCTGCTTTGTCTTCCAGCCGTCTCCTTGCTTTTGCTGCTCTGCGGTGCAGCAGCTTCACAGCTCTTTCTGTGTGCTGCAGCGCAGCAGCAACAGCATCAGCTCGGGCAATTGCTGCTGCTGTGGGGTCCCGGATCGTCTCCAAGTTCCGCTCCCGGATCGTCTCCAGCTGCTGCTGCTGCTTCTCTATTTGCTGCTCCGTCTCGCTCAGCTGCTGCTTCAGGTGCAGCAGCAGCGCGTCCAGTGTCTCCTTCCGCTGCTGCTTCTCCTCCAGCTGCTGCCGAGCAGCAGCAACAGCAGCACGAGCAGCAGCAAGCGCGGGGTCGTGCACGGCCCCGGGATCGTCTCCTCCGGAGCTGGGATCGTCTCCCTTGGAGCTGGGATCGTCTCCCTTGGGGCTGGGATCGTCTCCGCGGGAGCTGGGATCGTCTCCCCGGGAGCTGGGATCGTCGGGATCGTCTCCGTGGGGGCTGGGATCGTCTTCTTGGGAGCTGGGATCGTCTTCTTGGGAGGCGGGATCGTCTTCCTGGGAGCTGGGATCGTCTTCGGCGCTGGGATCGTCTCCGTCGGAGAAGGGATCGTCTCCGTCGGAGCTGGGATCGTCGGAGCCGATCCCGGGATCGTCTCCTCCCGCCTCCTCCAGCCCCACAAACTCGTCCACTGCTGCTTCGGCCTGGGCCCTTATGAGCCCGTTGAGAGCAGCAGCAAGTTTGAACTTGTCTGGCTTGTCGCTGAAGAAAGCTGCTTCTGCTTCTGCTTCTCGCAGCTGCCGCAGCAGCAGCAGGCGGCGCTGCAGCAGCAGCAGCAGCTGCTGCTCCTCGGGGGCGAGCTGGGCGAGCTGCTGCGCCTCCTGAGCTGCTGCTGCTGCTGCTGCTGCTGCTGCTGCTGCCTCGGCCTCGGCGGCGGGGCCCGCGCCGACGAGGCCCTCGATCTCCTGCTGCAGCTGCTGCTGCAGCAGCGCAGCCTGCTGCAGCTGCTGCTGCCGCCGCAGCAAAACTGTGGGGGCGTCCTGCAGCTTCACCAGCTGCTCAACTCCAGCATCCAGCAGCAGCTCGAGGGCCTGGATCTCCTCAAGTGTCTCCTTTTTGATTTCGAGAGTCTCCTCGAGTTCCTCGGCTGCTGCAGCAGTCTCGGCGGCGAGCTGCTGCTGCTGCTGCTGCAGCTGCTGCAGCGCAGCAGCAGCTGCTGCTGCCTCCCGCTGCAGCTCGCCCCGCGCCCGCTGCGTCTCCTCCGCCCACTCCCGCAGCTCCTCTTCTGCTGCTGCTGCTTCCATCTCCACCAAGTGCAGCTGCTGCTGCTTCAAAGAAATAAAAGTCTCTTTATCTTCTGTCTCCTTTCCGAGGAGACAGACATCGAGGCGGGCTTCTTCTTTTTCGAGGCGGAGTCTCTCGGCCTGGAGCTGCTGCAGCGCCGCTGCTGCTGCTGCTGCTGGCGTCTGCTGCAGCAGCAGCAGCTGCTGCAGCGACAGCTGCGCCTCGTCCCTGGCTTTCCGCGCCAGCTGCAGCTGCAGGCTGGCCTTCTTCACTTCTGCTGCTGCTGCTGCTGCTGCAGCAGCAGCAGCAACGGAGTCTGCGGGGGCCTGCCGCAGCGCGGTGGCTTCGCTGTTTGCTGCTGCGATCTTCTGCTGCAGCTGCTGCAGCAGCAGCACCTGCCCGCCCTGCTGCTGCTCCAGCGCCTCCGTCTCCCGCCGGAACTCAGCAGCAGCAGCAGCAGCAGCATCTCGTGCTGCAGCAAACCGCCCCGTCTGCTCCTCCAAGTCCTGCTGCTGCTGCTGCTCCGCCTCCAGCAAACCCTCCGCGTTGCTCAGCTTTATTTCCTGCTGCACTGCAGCAGCAGCAAGCAGCAGCGCAGCAACAAACACCAGCAGCGAAGCCACCCCGTACTTGGAGACACTTGGGGGGCCCCCCTCAGCAGCAAAACTGGGGGGCCCCCCCTCCTGCTGCAGCAACCCCACACCCCTCCGGACCCAAACCCCTTTTGTCTCCTCCAGCTCGGGATCGGGAGCGGGATCGGGAGCGGGATCGGGATCGACTGTGGGGCTGCTCACGGGCCCCGACTCCGAGAACGCCGTTGCTGCTGCTGCTGCGCAGCAGGGAATGGAGACGCACGAAGCCTCATTGCTGCAGCTGCAGCAGCTGCGGCAGCAGCAAATCTTCAGCAACAAAAGGAGACAATTCCGGTTGCTGCTGTCTCCCTCTAGCCGCAGTGGCTCCTTGCTGCTGCTGCTGTTGAGTGCATCACTGCTATGCCTGCTGCTGCTGCTGCTGCTGCTGCTGCTGCTGCGGTTGCAAGGCTGCCAGCGGCTGCGGCTGCTTCGCCTGCTGCTGCTGACGCGGGTGTGGCTGCTGCTAGCTGCTGCAGCAGCGGCTGTGGCTGCTGCTGCTGTTCCAGGCGCTGCTGCTGGCCTTGCAACTGCCGCCCACTGGCTGCTGCTGCTGCTCCTGCTGCCGCTGCTGCTGCTGCTGCTGCTGCTGCTGCTGCTGCTGGCCGGGCTTCGACTCCGCGATCGATCAAGGCCTGCTGCAGCAGCAAAGCCCTGCTGCAGCTGTGCTGCTGCTGGGGCCCCACAAAGGCCAGGCTGCTCTGGGCGGGATCGAGGGATCGCCCGCGTGGTGCTGCTGCTGCTGCTGCTGCTGCTGCTGCTGTTGCTGCTGCTGCTGCTGCAGCAAGTTGGTTCTTTTGAGCAAATTAACAAATCAAACCTGAAAGGGAGTTTTCAAAGCCCTTAGAAGAACAAACAGAGGCCGGAAAAGTGACGGCTGTGCTGCTGCTGCTGCTGCTGGGAGGCTGTGTGCAGCAGTTGCTGCTGTGCTGCTCCCCCGCCTCTGCTTTATTACTTCTTTATTTACTTTTTATTTAATTCTCCTTTATTTATCTTTTATTTTATTTTCCCATTTGTGGCAATTTCAACTCCCGGCAGATACCCACAAACGCAGCCGCTCGCCTAATACAGCCGCAGCAGCTGTGCTGCTACTGCTGCTGCTGCTGCTGCTGCTGCTGCTGCTGCTGCTGCTGCTGCTGCTCTTGTTTGACAATACAGCGTTAGATCTTTTTGCCTTCTTCACTTTTTCTTTGATACGTTGCGCCTTTTCTTTTGTTATCTTCTTAATTTCACGTTCCCAGTGTTTAGGGTTTAGGGTTTGGGGTTTAGGGTTTAGGGTTTAGGGTTTACATTGTGTGAGGCCTCGACAGCTCGATGAACCGAACACCGCAGCATGCCCGCGCACATCTTTTGCCCAACCCTAAACCCTAAACCCTAAACCCTAAACCCTAAACACTAAACCCTTAGCCTTAAACCATGGATGTTGAACCCTAAACCCTAAGTGCTAAAGCCTAAACCCTAAACCCTAAACCCTAAACCCTAAACCCTACGCCGCACGGCCCACGCGTGGTGGGCCGTAGGCCTAAGCCCTAAGGCCGAAGCCCCAAACCCTAAGCCCTAAACCCTAAACCCTAAACCCTCACTGTTTTACGTACCTACAATGCTTTGCTGCACCGCGAAGGCGGATTTCAGAGTCTAGGGTTTAGGGTTTAGGGTTTAGGGTTTACTGGGGTCTAGGAATCGACAGAAGCGAAGTCAAAGAGGGATGAAAAATAAGCAAATAGCTTGCAGTAGAAGAAACAAACAAACAAATAAATAAATAAATAAATAAATAAATAAATAAATAAATAAAGAACAAATAAATAATTAAAACAATCTTGTAAAGTAAATGAAACAAAAATAAATAAATTTGCAAAAACAAATAAAGGCAAAGCTATTCGCCGATTATTTTTTTAAAGAGAAGACGTAAAAAGCAAAATGAATTTAAAATAAATTTAAATAAATTTAAAACAATTTAAATTAAATTCAAATTAAATTCAAATTTAATTTAAATTATTTTAAATTAAATTACAAACAAAGTGTTGAATCAAACTGCAAATTGAATTGCATTAAATGTTTTATAAAATTATAATTTTTATTAGAAATTAAAATGCAAAAATAATCATAAAATTAATTTAATTAAAAATCTAGTTGTGGATCTATTTATGAATATAATTGTAATTATATTTCTAAATCTAATTATAAATTTAATTGCAATTATAATATTCAACATAATTAAACTGTAGTTAAAATGTCTTTATAAATATGTAATTAATCCTACTTTAAATATATTCATAAATATAATTAGAAATATTATTATAAGTTTAACATTAAATTTAATTGTAAATGCAAGTGAAAATATAATTATAAATGTAATTAAAAATATAATTATAAATGTAATTAAAAATATAATTATAAATGTAATAAAAACATAATTATAAATGTAATTATAAAAGTAAATAAAAGTGAGAACTGACGCGAAAGTTAATTATCTTGGAAGCAAAATTAAAATTAAAATAAAAATAAATGCAAATAAAGTCACAAAAGAAAATAACAGTTAAGTAAAAATAAAGTAAATAATAATAAAACTAAATTAAACTAAAAAGTAAAACAGAATTGAAACGAAGTGTAATAAAGTAAAGTATAATAAAAGAGGGAAACAAATTAAAACAGAATTAAAAATAATGGACAGTTAAAGAATATAAAAAAGATAAAAATAAAATACCAAAAAGAAAGAAGTGCAAATAGAAAGAAACTTCTGCATTTGAAAAAAGAATCTTTAAAAGCCAGCAATAAAGAAGGAATTAAATAAAACAATTAATTAAGTGCAACAAGGAATTGAATAAAAAATTAAATGAAAAAGAAATAAAAAGAAATTAAAAAAAATAAAAAAATAAAACAAATATAAACCTGCACCTGCTGCCCCTGAGGTGTCTGTACACCTCAAATCCACTCCTTATTCTTTCCAAACTTTTCCAAAAACTTTTTTTTCAACTGTCTCCTTTAAATCCATTTAAAATACTTTTCTTATTTCATTTAAAATACTTTTCTTATTTCATTCAAAAATACTTTTTTTCACTTTTCAGAAGTACTTTTAAATTTAAAAATGAATTTTCTCCTTTTTGGATTTTCTGCAAAAGTATGTTCGAGTTTATTGTACACCTGGGGACCTTCGTAATATCTGCCACTGTTACTTCTCATTAATTAATTAATTAATTAATTAATTAATTATTTATTTATTTATTTAATCAATTAATTACTTAACCAATTAATTAAGTAGTTGGAAGCTGACCATTAATTAATTAATTAATTAATTAACTAATTAGTTAATTAATTAGTTAACTACTCAATCAAGTAAATATTTAACAAATTGATTGGCTAGTTAAAAGCTGATCATTAATAAATAAATAAATAAATAAATAAATAAATAAATAAATAAATAAATAAATAAATTATTTAACAAATTAATTAACTAGTTGGAAGCTGATCATTAATCAATTAATTAATTAGTTAATTAATTAATTAATTAATT